GATGGAACTCGGAGGAGGCCTAATCGATGAGATCTAATAGGTCGCGTGGAGGTAATTGGCAGTAGTCTTCCTTGTTTGTCTTCCAATTTTTTTACAAGATAAAATATTAGAACTTAGTTCATAAGATTTCCGTTCAATTCATTCTTGCTTAGAGAGTTGATGTCTACGTGGATATATAAACCACTGCTTTAAGTTGGCTTATAATAAAGATGACTGCAAAGCATTCCAAAGGAATTATTAAATTAGGGTGTGTTTTTTTAACACAGACAAAAGTGAAATGATTTTGAAACAGTCGTCACTATGACCTCTATTCATAAGTTTGAATGTATAGGTGCTTTTAAAAGCAGCAAGTAGACTAAGCTAATTCATTTGAAGATTCTTAAGAGTTAATATTTGGCAAGTAAACTTTGCCCAGAGGTTGCTGTTTTGCATCAAATTTTTAAAAGCAACATTACCATTTGTGTTTCTGATTGTTACTTTAAATGAAAACATGCTCAGTTTTTAGTTTAGTTTGACATGATTTCTATGTAAAACATTTATATTAAAATGCTGCTTCATTATTCACTATAAATTTTATTTATTATATATTTCTGTGTTCGCTTAATGTTTGTTTATTTAAGGTGTTTAGAGTTTATATCACATTCACTCCTCATCTTTCTCTCCTGGTACTCCATCTCAACTGTTGCTTCCGTTTCCAGAAATCCTCTGAAAGTCAGAGGGCTTTCTGGGCATTGAACTGAGACCTTTGTCGTCATGTACCAGAGCCTCAGGATTAACCCCAAATGTCCTTTGGAACCAAATAGGGTCCATTCAGCCCTCATGGCTGACTGATATAATAGGGTCACCCAACCTGGTCTTGGTTATACATGCCAAGTCAGCCCTCTTATACACACGAAGCCATGAACAAGAGAGGCTTAATTATTGATCAACCAGGCATTTAATAGTAGTATTTGGAAGCCAAGGTCTGGTAACCAGGCATAAGGAAATAGCCTTGGAATCAACTGGAGATGTTGAAATATCTTCCCCAAGACCAGCCAGCCCTGCCCTATCTCCTGTCCAAGATTCTGTTGTGTGCTCCTTTCCCAAAAGGCCAAATCTCCCTGACCTGTACCATCCATCCCATTGATAAAGGCCTCCATCCAGTCCTAAACTAGCAATCTTTCTCCTTCTCCGGTTAACTAGTTCCTGTGAATTGCTTCTGATCTAGCATGCAACGATCTGCCAGTCAGCTGCATTCCCATCACACATCCACACCACACTCCCAAATCCCTTCCCCCACTCATAGGGTTTTTTTGAGGGGCCAAATAGACACTCACCACTGGCTGGACCAACCCAGAAAGTCCATATAAAAGCCAGAGGAAATCTAGGTGATCTCATCAGCTAGCTCCAAATACTGACTGAAAGTCCTTTCACTTCTCATTCCAAGTCCTTCAGTGCTGTGCAGAAGAATCCTTGGGCACACAGTGCTGAAAGGCGGCACAAGTGGATACATTTATCTCATCTGCAATTGCTGCCATCTGTAAAAGACAAAATGGCCTCTGCCCAGAATGATAGGCTGTATGGCGTGTAGAGGACAAACTCCAGCTCTCCTACTAGGCCAATTTTGCTCTTTGGCACTCACCCATAGCAACCAGAAGTTCCGAATCTCTGAATTCAAGCTTTTCTGGGTTGCCACCATTGCTGTCCAGCTGATTGACAGTATCTCCAATTCTAATCTGCAGCACCTCTAGATCATCTGATTGAATACATTAGCTTGTATTGAATGCATTGAATACATAAGGGGAAGTAGATGGATACAGAAAGGTAAAAGCTTATGTAATGATGTGTCTTATGTTTTTACATTGGAGTACACACTAGAAGAAATTTTAGTGGTAGTTCAACTATAGAGCCATTGTGTGTACATTAATTTATATATTAAAGAATCTGGATGATAATTTCCTTTGTTAATGTTCCCCCCCCCCCTTTAAAAATGAAGTTCTAGTTAAATCATACATAAATTACATGAGGAAAGAGATGGCATGAGTTTGCAGTGGGCTGTTGTAATTTGTCTTTCTAATTGTAGACAGTGGACTATGCCACCATGGAATATTTACTATATACTATAGATATATTACTTTGTTCCGTATTTCCTTCTCTGATACACAGTGGAGACATCTTAATTTAGTGAATGTCAAAGTCCAAAAGAATAGTCAGGAAATGTCAATTTATTATTTGGGTTACTTAAAAAAAGGTTTTCTGAACTTTGCTTTAGTTTAATGAGTAACCAGTTGAAAACTACCAGAACTAAATGATTTAAAGACAAAACAAAGTTATCGACATCATGTCTGAAAGACCAATTTGCATTGCTGATTTTGAAGAATATGCTAAGAAATTTCTTCAAAAGTCTGTGTACGATTACTATAAGTCTGGGGCTGATGATCAACAAACATTAGCTGAAAATGTAGCTGCATTTTCAAGGTAATTAACAATTCAAATATTGTATTTAATAGCTTGTAATTTAATTAAAGTAGACTTGAAAAACAGTACATTATTTGAAGTGCATTCATGATTGGAATTGGTTATACTAAAAATAAATTGGTCATGTACAATTTGAATGAGCATTCATTTGCTTCTTTTAACTCTGGATATCAGGGGATACCGTGAAACAAAATTCAGATTTCATATGAAATATTATAGTTTTGCAAGTCATTACCCTGGAATTGGATGAGCCTTTGATCTTATAGCAAAAAATTGTGTGGTGCTTAAAAAGCAGTCCTGTGGCTAATATATCTACCGAAATAACTTAATTCCTGTTCAAATGCTTGTCTAGTAAATACATTTGGCAAATATATATTTGGCAATATGACAGTCAGATAATCATAAATCTCTGATAACTATCCAATGTTTAAATCAAATGTTCAATTACTATTTTAGGAAAAATATCTAAGATTTGTGCTTGTAGAGGATTTGAAAGTGGATTTTTTTTTCAATGGGTGTGGGAACTGAGAAATTAGAAAAATTTTCTTGTGCTATTGGTAAAACAGGTAAGGGTAATGGAAATTATTGGTAAATCAAAGATGACTAAGGAGAATTGGAAGATGAATAAAGTCGTGCAATATATAAATTATCCTGAGTTGGTGGGAAATGTTTTACTCATTGTAATGCCTAATTTAGCCAAATGGAGTCTCCAAAGATGTCTATTCTGATTGATGGTAACAATTCCTGTCAACAATTGTTAGTGATCCATCAGAAAATTCAGTTCCTATCTCAGTTCACTATTCAGAAAATTACTGGTAGTTAAGTAGTTCTTTGCAAATCCTTAGATAAAAACACAGAATTCCAGCTTATTATTTATTTTCATTCTCATTTCAGTGATTAGGTTGAAACTGGGAGAGTTACAGTGCTCATATAATCTTGACTGATGATACCCTCTTCAAACATTGTCCAAAATACCTATCAGCTGTACTGGGATGGCATTTCTTGACTATTTAATTGAAAGTCCTAAAAAGGAATAAGTGGGCCAAAATAATAGCACCTACCTTGTATTTCATAAACTAGTATGAATGAGATATGTGAGAGATCACAAATAAAATAGGTTATTGGCATAATTAATGCATGTTGCTTCTGCGTCCGTTTTATATCCCTTTCACACAGAAAAATCAATATGCTTAATAGAAAATGATGCTGAGCATAGATTAGGTAATTAAACCGTTTCATAACAATTTTGTCTTGAGTGAAATAAACTGAATACAGAATATGAGAACTTTCCTTTATTCTGTGTTGAAGCTGTGCATATCAATCATTAGTTTTGCTTCTTGAAAAATCTTTAAAAGGTCAAAGACAAAAGTTGCAGTTTGTCTGTAACTAGGCAAAAACAATTTTTTTTTCAGTTGAATCTTTTTTATGGTAACTTTATTGCATTTTAAGCATTAAAGATAAAAACTGATACTAATAAGATGAGAAAGAAAAAATAATGAAGCCAAAAGTGTAGAAAAAAGGGAAAGAAAGAAATGAGTTCTGTTTTTCTTTTACAGCAATTATAAATTTGAAATGACCTTTATGGTTGCAACATAGCTTTTATTTTTCTATCTATTATTTTTTCAGATCATCAAACTCATATAGAATAATTCTATTTTTTCCTGTTTCATGCCAAAAGTCCAAAAGGATTTCCAATCACGATTAATCAGTATCTTTTTATCTAATCAAGGCTTCCAATTTAGCCATCCCAGCAAGTTCATCATTTTCATCATTACTTTTCTATTGTGGACAATGTTAAATCCTTTCACTGTTGTATATGTAAAAGTCTTGCTTCTGTTTTCATTTATAACAATAAGTTCCACAAGTTTACAACTTTTTTGTTAATCTCAAAAGAAACATGGCTTCAGCTGTCAATTAATGTTTAAACTTTTCTGAGTTAATGTACATAATTGAGTGTATTTTTTATTTTTTATGTCACTAAGCATAATAAAAAAAAATCCTCTCTTGTTCAACACACATTTGAATTGCCTTTATCATTTTTTTCAAAATGGAATAACTTTGATGAATGAGGTAGACCAGTGAAGCAATATTTGTTGAAGCAAAATTTTAGGGAGAAATGATCTCATGCTTTAAATTCAAGAACTGTACACTAGACTGGCAAATCAAATCCTAGAAAAAAATAAGGACCAAACCACTTTTGTGTTGTTCCTGAAGAAGTGAAATATACAATGGATTCACCCTCCTAGATTGGATTTTAGCTAATGAAGGGTTGAGTAATGGAAATTTTAGGACAAAGTAACCCCATTATTTTGAAGTTCAGGATTCTATATGAAAATAAATTAGGATAATTCTACATGTACATTCGATTTCAAAACAGCCAACTTGAACTAGAGAAATGTTAGGCAGCGTCTCAGAAGAAATCTTTGGGTCAGAGAGGGCTGAAGGGGATTGGAGATTTGTGAAAAATAAGATCCTAGAAGTCGAATCGCAATCTGTACCAGAGGGAAAGAAACAACTCTATATACCCCTGGAGCTTTTGACTAAAAGTTAAAAGAAAAATATATAGGAAATGGAAGATGAGTGTAATAACTAAGGAGGTTTGTTCCACAAGAGAAGACAAGAAGGATGTCAGACCTACAAGCCATCTTTTTTGGGGTTTCAGGCCTGCCACATTTTCTACTGTGGGAAAATGGGAGGGGGGATTATACGGAGTTGGGTGATGTGTAGCCATAATAGCATTCTTCTTAGGAAGTTAAGGTCACTTTTGTGTCTGCACTTGGCCGGATATGGATGGGAGGAATCTGTCTTCATGGCAGTGAAGGATTGGACCATGTGATGGACTTGTGGGTGTTGGGGCAGGGTCTTGAACTTTCAACTGGGTGGGAAAATCTGGAACCTTTTGGATTTGGGTTTTCTTAGATGTGCCAACATGACATCTCTAATAAATTGGAACTTTGAGGAAACTTAAGCCTCTGAGTTTTATTTCGTTGGGTGTTTTTTGGAACTCTGACATAAGAATAGGCAGAAAGTAAGCAAATTTCAATTGGACATGGAGAATAATCTAAACAATAAGCTATTCCACAAAGGAGCAAAAATAACTTGGCAAGTGTTGGTCTCATTTTATTGGCAAAAGTGGACAGCCATTTTAAGAAAAGATTGGACAGCCATTTGTCTGGAATAATACAGAGTCTCCTGCTTGAACAGTGGGTTAGACTACAAGTCCCTTCCAACTCTGTTATTTTGTTCTATTATTTAAACAGAAGCTGAATTTCCTTCTGATGGTGATTAGATTTCTGAACTGGGCAATGAGTCAGATTAAATTATCTCCAAGTCCTTAAACTTTCCATTCTGTAATTCCGGTTCCAGGAAGTTATCAGGAATTGAGTTTGAGGGAGATTTCATCTTTACTTTTTAAAAGATAACTGATCAAAAAGAAGAAAATGATAATGAACACTTTCCCATCCTAGTTGAGAGAAAGAGTACAAACCAAGAAGGCTCTTTTATATACAAATACCATACAACTTAAATTTAGTCACCGAGACACAAAATTTCTTAATGATTTCCATATACCAAGACTTTACTGTGATGGGCAGATTTTTGGAGACATCAACAGGTTATGATCTTGAATTTTGGAATGATGGCTCATTCCACAGTTGATAGTATATTTTATATTTTTCCATTCAAGTTCAAGAAAAAAAATAGAGAAGTTGCAGCTGGGAGCATATTTTAGAGATAAAACTGACATATTTTATCTATCAGTTCAGACAGAAAAATTAAAAGGATTATTATATCTGTGCTTTTTACAACCAAGTAAAGTCTACCATTCTAAAAAAGTGTTAATAGGAAGGGAGGAAGTATTAGAATAAAATAAATGAACCCTTTAATAATGCAAGGGAAAGCTTGTGTAGGTTTTGAAAATAAGTGTCTTAGCCAATCTGCAATAAACCTCTTCTTAGAACTGCATATTATCTCTAACAACAAAATAAAAAACATGGGAGTTTAATGTGAGTATTTTTAAAAGCTTAATTATATCGTGTTTTGAAATCTCTTAAACAAGTGAGTTTATTAGGCTCTTTTAAAGTCCAAAGTAGTTTGGGGGAACTAAAAGAAGATGTCATCTATTTTTGATAGGTTCCAAATTTCTTTCAGCCAGCTCACTTATTAGAAAATTGATTTTTTTTAACAAAGTCATGGTGCTGATGGCATTTTGACTTATAAGGAAATCAATTTAAAATATCTTATTTCAGCATGTTAAATTGGGATTGAGAGAAAATGATCAGATTGCAGATAATGAATTCTGATAGATTGTATCTTTGATTTTCTAAAGGTCTTCAGAAAATAAGATGTTCTTTACTGACAAAAAGGAAAGCCAAAAACAGATTGTTTAACGAAGTTAATCATATTAAGCATGTTTTTTTTTCTGGAGCTGAGTGCTGCAGTTACTGAGATTTGTTAAATGGTTGTGGTGATGATGAGTGCCGAACACATATGATAAGGAATTATTGGGTTAAACTGATATGTTTTTCTGTTAATGATTGGTAAAGAAAGTTATTAGTGATGGCTAATAGTGCTAGAGCAGGGATTTCAAACTCTATTTCATTGAGGGCTGCATCAGGGTTGTGTTTCACCTTGGAGAGCTGAGTGGGTGTGGCCCAGGTAGGTGTGGCCCCAAGTGGGTGTGGCCAGCTGGACTTCCTGCAGCCCGCATGCGGCTCTCCCAAGCTCCGTTTTCGCTGGCAGAAGGCTGCAGGAGGCAGTCTCAGCCAAAAATGGAGGTTGGGAGGGCTGTGCGCAGCCCTCCGGAGCTCCATTTTCAGTGGCAGAGGCACCGCAGGCCAATCCTTTGCTGTTTCAAAGAGTGGCCCTGCAGGCCAGATCTAAGCACCCTGTAGGCTGGATCTGACCCTTGAGTTTGACACCCCTTTGCTAGAGGTAAATTTGTTATATTTTGCAATATATTGTGGTTTCAATACTTCTGTCTATATGTGGGTTCAAGTTCATGATGACTCCTGTTGACCTCTTTAATTAGTCTCTGAAGTTTTCTTGGAAAATTTTAGAAGTACTTTGCCCTGATCTTCCTTCTAGAAATGAGACTGGCCTAAGATCACTTTGCAGGCTCCATGCCTAAGGCAGGCTTAGGTCTCCCAGTTTATAGCTTGGTGTCTTCACCAATACACCTTTAAAGTTTGGGTGCAGAGAGAAGCCAGCATGGAGGGGGGACAGAATGGAATGCTTTTAAAGCAAGCTAAAAGAAACACAAATAATTTTATAGATGCTATGATTAGACCAGCTGTCTGAATATTTATATTTTTCAATATGATTGTCTTTATCCTGATAATTGCCAAAGATATCTTGGATCTGAAAGGGTTTTCTGCATAACCTAAGTCAGTTCCTGGAACTCACATGGCTGTCCAGATAGCATCTCTTGGTCACATTCCATTTTGATATCGTTCATGTTGATGAAAAAAGGGACATACAACTTTTTGGACTGTAATTGGTACATGGGCTGTATCCCGGAGAGGCATGTTTCCTCCTCCCCCTTTTCTTTGTAATGTTTATATTATAAATTGTATTAAGGATTTTGATTGCAACAGTAAAAACTAATGCAATCTAAACTTAAGGAAAGAAAAGATTATGGAACAGAAATACGTTAAAAAAGTGATTTCAACCTTAATTACAGCAAATGTAAACAAATCTAGTAATGCTTCATCCCCTGTAAGGTTCCAAGCATATATCTTTTCCTCCCATAGTGTCCTTTAAAGGGATCTGCTGCTGTTGTGAGAAAGATGCTTAATTCTTTAGCCTCCGAGTGCTCAAACCCATGGAGCGCCACTGTCCTGTGGTCTTCTCGCAAGAAGCAGCCATTCAGAAGACATGTGGGCAATCTCCCCTCCTCTCCTTGTCTAGGGAGGTCCCAAAGAACCAGTTTACTCATCAGTTATTGTCAGAGTATTTTGCTGCAGCAGCATATCCAGCAAGCACCCACAAGTAAATGAACTTCAGCAGGATTCAATTATATGTAAGAAACTTCTTTACATACAATATTGTTGTGGCTCGGCAGGAACCTTTGGAGCTGCTAACAGACCCTGACAGCGAGGGGCCCTATGAGTCAGGCCTGGAGGAGCCGGAGGGCCCTGGACAGTGTTCTGACTCCAAGCAGGGCTCAGAGAGACTAGTTGGTCCCCAGGTAATGACTGAGAATTGGATCAGTGAGAAAGGCTGACACAGAAACCTCCTGTGAGTTGTTTCGGGATGTACGCAGGAGAAGGGCTGACCGACGGAAGGAACAATTGAGGACTCACAGGAGATGATAACGAGCAACTGTGGCTCGTTAGAATCTCCTCCTGCGGA